CCTCCACATCGGAGCACAGGAATGTCGTCTCATTTTGTTTTGAGCATAAAGAGTGTCATCTCCCTCAGAACCTCTTGGTACTGGAATCTGAGGAGTGAGATCGTACTCCATTTGCAACTTGCAGGTGTGATGACAAGGACTTGCAAGCACATATTGTTGGAGTTGTCTTGAAAACAATCTTCCAAAACGGGAAGTATGGGTAATGCACACTGGAAAATCATAGTTAAGTTTTTAAGATCCATGTTGGGAAAACAGAAGTGACTGAGAAAAGGGACATAAATTTTCATTCTTACTTGCTTTTCATTACTTGGATACTTGAGAGCTCTTTTAGCTGAGCTGAGTAGAAGGATGTCATCATACTGGACTCGTTTATTTATCTTCTTTTGTCCTGTTGGTGGGGAAGATAGTTCTGTTTGAGGATTCATAACTCCTGTTGTATTTCAATATTTTTGAGATCATAGGAAATGTTGTATGATGTTTTGGGTCTATTATGTCTATGTATGTGGTGGGGGCAAGTGTGATTAGATGACTAAGATAAGAGTGGGACAAGAGTGGAGTAGGCCATTTTGATTTATGACATTTCAGCTTATCAAGTTGACTGTCAATTAGCATGAAGACAAATGATTAAATAAATGCAGAAATCACTTAATCTTTCCCCTCCAAACCCTTCCTGGTATCCCTGTCCCCATACTGCAGATACTGCACAGCTCCCTCTATGCACAGAGCAAGAGTCAGTGTCTGGTGACTTCTTTTCTTTTACTGTCCCTATTCCTTATGCTATTCCTTCACAAGTCAATATCTCCCCAGTCACCTACTCTTCTGTCATCCTTCTATTCCTGCTTGGGTAGCTCCAGACCCTGTCTGGCTGACTCCCACTGTGCTTCTGCTTTCTGTAGTCCCTCTCCTGCTCTCTTCCTGCATTCCACAAGTTGGTTCCTGACCATCTTGTACATTTTGCAACACCTCTCCTACCAAAACCATGTCAACTTAGCCCAGCATCAAGGGAATTATTATTATTTTTTTTAGCATACTGGAAGGGCAGGCTAGTAAGGATGTCAGCTAGTGCTGTAGAAAATCATACCTGCTTCTCTAATTTTATAGTAATTAAGAAAACAGAAACCCTGCCTTACGAAGATATAGATGTTAAATCAATGTGAGCATGATTTAGGAGTCATGGTAAACAAAAGCATGGTAGTATGGTGGTCTTTTAGCATTAGGGTGGCACAGTCTGGAATTATCAGACACATCAGTGAATGATACTAGATTGATAATCCTTTTTTTTTAATGCCAGTCATGGGTTAGTGAGGAAAGTTCTTTCTAACCTTTTGTACTAACTTATGCTTCACTTGTGAAAGCTTTAATTAATCCCAGATATAGAAGAAGGAACGCACAGGAACTTGCATTCATTAGTCTGCTTTTTTTGTGAAAAGAAGATGTTAAGATGTCAAAATGGAAAAGGTGGTTGAAAGCACAATTAATTTGACTATTAGGACACAGGACTGCCTCCTAAGCCGAGGCTAACACAGATCACATATCAACAAGCTGATTTCTCTATCAGTGATGGAAAATAAATGGTGTGACTCTACCTATTTGAATGCTGCTTGTCACACTTCTTTTGCTCACTCATTGCCAGGAGGATTTTACCACTTAATTCGTTTTAGTCTGTTTGACCGTTGTAATGTTGCAATCTAAGTGAATTAACAACAGCATACTAGCATTAATGTTCCTGCTGTGCGGGAGCAGACATTTCTGATAGTCCATCTGTGTTTCTGTGGCAGGCTGCTAGTTTCTCTTCTTACTTAAGATATTTCTGGAAAAATAAGTGCCTCTCTAATTAGTGATGAGTTCTTGTCTCAGTTCTTACTACTGTCTTTAATGAGTAGTGAATACTGAGTACTAAGTTCTTTGTGGTCATGAAGGAATGTTAAGGGAAAGGTGAAAGAAAGGGAAGAGAAACAAACTGATAGTTTCCATACAATTATTTTTTCTTTTTTAACTATGTTCTCTTCTCTTGCAGCTCTGTACTGACAAAACTACAGTTATCTGTGTATATGTGCATGTATATGTAGTTGTATACACACAGAGACATGCATACACTGTGTTTTACACTTAACAAGAGAAAAAGGAAACTCTTAAATAAGTAACATCATTTCAATGGAGTTAATTTAAACTTCCAAACTGGTAGGGCATCATGACCTGCTTTGATAACAGAAGAACAAAAAGTCTCAGAGTAAAGATTGGTTAGGAAAAGTTGTAAACATTGTGTTTATTTTACATATTAACTTACATTCATCTCTGAGTGTCTTAGCAAATGTAAAGTTAAAGTAGCTCTACAGTGTTGCCACAGAAAAGTACAAATGATGTAGCTGTACAGCAGCTTTGAAGGGCTGTACTGGCAAATCAGTGACGGATTCTTTAACAGTCTTCGTCCTCTAGAGATAAGGTAACTTCCATTTGTGTGAAGAAGTAATCAGTATAAATGTTCATCATCAAGTGTCAAAACATATTTTGGAGGCATCTGAAGTTTAGTATCCTTATTAAAAAACCCTCTTAATTACCCCAGTAATCTGGCAAAATTATGATTTCTCTAATTGTTTGTGCTTTTTATGCCATGGATTTAGCAGTACCTACTGCTCTGTTGTCACAGAATGGAGACAGCATGTCACTCAGCAAACCTCTAGCTTCAGTCAGAGCATGGAAATGCTTTGTAACTTGTTTATCAGTAGTTATAAAATAGCACATGAAGTTTTATTAATGCTGTGTTTTATCTAAATGTGATGCATACGCTGGCCACACATGCCTTGCAAAGTGCTCTGGTTTGTGAAACCGGAGAAACGCTGCTAATCAGTTGGCAGTGACATGCAAGCAATCTAATCAAACAGAATAGACATAGCTAGGTCTATGGAAGGTGGCAGTACAGGAGAACATCATCTCAGGGCTCACCAACTGAACTTTTACTAGCACTCCTAAATGCTTTAGTTACATAGTTTTCACCTAGCTTGTACATAGCAAAACCTTAGCTTTTGAATGTTTCAGTTGTATGAGGTCTGGTTCGGTGATAGCACTGGATAGCAGCTCTGGTCAGAAGTATTCATTCACCACACAGCTATGATTTAGATTCAGCTCTTCTTTTGCATTTTTAGTTAGTGTAGTTAGGGCCATCATTTTCTCCTTCCAATATCAGTCTTCATACAGATACTTCTGGATAGCTTTTTGTGTGTGTGTTAATTAGCTCTTAAACTGCCTCACTGTTAAGTAACTGGTTGCATTATGGTAATATGCATCACATTACATTTGGGTGTGCTAAACTGGATGGTAGGTGGAAGATGCTTTTATCTAATACTGAAAGCGAGAATGAAATCTTAAGTATGATGAATTTATTCTAAACATTCAAAAGAGCAATTAATGTAAAGATTATATTGAAACACAAGAACTATGAAAGTTGCTTGTGCATAATTTTTGTGTTTGTACAAGGGATTGGGATCAGGAGTAATCAGGAATACTGCTTATGTAACTGGGTGATATAAGGAGAACGTTAGTTGATATTAAGTGTACTGTGACGTTTGTATGGAGGACTAAGACATACATTCGTCCCTCTGGACTGCATGTATTCTCCTTTAGCTTTCACTGGAACAATAAGAATTTGTTCTGTTCTGTATTCCTCAGACCATTTCTTCTAACACTTAGCATAGGAGATCACCACCTCTTCCAGCAGACAGGCTTCAAGTAGCCTTATCTCCCAGCTGAGGAGTACAGTTCTGCTACTGGAGACAGCTGGTTCTGAGTGCATTCAGTGCCAAGCAGCAGAAGTGTTACTGAGAGTTCATATATAACTGATTTATAAGAAGGCCAGATTGTAACTGTTTGACTGTGATTACTCCAAGACCTTTTTTTTTTTTTTTTGCTTTTGCTTTTATTTTTGGCAGAAAAATGTATTAAGAGCTTAGCCTCTTACTTAAAGGGAGATAAGGGCAGGGACAAAAGGTATGTTTATTATCATTTTAGAAACAGGAAAAAGAAAAGTAATTAAAAATGCCTGCAAAGCTAAACCCAAATTGAAATGCTTTTAGTCCATTTTTTTCTTATTTAATGAAGCATTTCCTGAAGAATACAACCGTCTATTTGTCAGTAAAATGTAGCTAAGGTGACAGCCATCGTAGTAATGCTAAAATACATTTTTTATTTCATGCAGTACTAATTAGAAACACGGAATGGGTTGGTTTAGAAGGAACCAAGATTACCTATTTCCAATGCGGCTTGTAAGAAAGATGGAGAGAGATCTTCTGTTTGTGCCTGTAACAATAGGGCAAGCTGTAATGGTTTTAACTAACAGAGGGTAGACTTAAAGTAGGCATTAGGATGAAATTCTTTATTCAGAGGGCAGTGAGGCGCTGGCACAAGCTGCCCAGAGAAGCTGTGGATGCCCCATACCTGAAAGTGTTTAAGGCCAGGTTGGCTGGGGCTCTGGGCAGCCTAGTGGGTAGCAATGCAGCACACAGCAGGAGTTTGGAACTCTAGCTTGGTTTTCCTCATCTCATTTCTAAATGTCTTGGTTTGCATCTCTATATTGATGCATCTCTATATTGAAAAATCAGAATACTGAAAGGCTTCTCAGAAGATGGGTGCTCAATGTTGCACACATTCGGCAACATGCAGTGAACGAGAAGTTACACATGTGCTAATGACAGCTTGAAGGGATAGATGGAAAGTAATGAGTGAGGAGTGATGGAACACAGCTGAATCTTTGTTGAAAGATGTCAGCCTTTATCTGACTCTACAGTTAAGTGCTGATTTTGCTTTTGGAGGCTTGCATTTTGCTTGTATGTGTATATTAATTTAGTCTATCTGCTGAATGCATCAGCACATGATATTTTTTTTCCTAAGAACTTTTTTAAGTAAAGTGAAATACTTGCAACCTACTGGGCACAACTGGTAGATAACTTGTGCACATATATATTACATCCCAGTCATGTTCATGACTTTCACTTTCTGTCCTTCAGGGAACAACCTATCTTCAGCACCCGAGCTCATGTCTTCCAGATTGACCCGAACACTAAGAAGAACTGGGTTCCCACCAGCAAGCATGCTGTTACTGTGTCCTACTTCTATGACAGCACAAGAAATGTCTACAGGATAATCAGTTTGGATGGCTCAAAGGTAAGTTTTATTTTAGAGAATACTTCCTTGCTTCTTTTTTGACTTTTGTATTTATATTCCAGGCTGATTTATCTTCTCAGATGCTCTTGTCAGCATCTTAGTAAGTGATAAGTGATGTGTTGAAATGGTTATATTGTTTTATTAGATATTTTAAGCATTCTTTGAAAAATACTGTTTTCTAGTGTTTGTATAGACTTAGATAAATCTGATAAATCTAAGTGGTGACCTACTAATATTGAGCAATCAAAAGGTATTGCCTTTGAGGTGTACTAAAAACTACAAGTAGTGTTCCAATAAATTGTTTCTCTCTCAGTATCCAATGATGTATTGAAGTCATTGATTTCATCCTTCATCATGAAAGACATCTGTTCAGTGCCTGTAATCACTCTATAAATCCTTCTTTGTTACTTAATCTTCCAATTTTTGCAGTACAGCTTGTGGTGATTCCTTCTTAAAGCTCTCCAAAGTAAGCAGTTAGCAAAAGTCATTTGGGTTGGGTTTGGGATAAAGGTTATGTTTTGTTTTTTCATTTTTCTATGCTGGGAAAGGTAATAAGTTGAACTGCTTAAGATAGTAATTTGGAAGACTTGGGGAAAACACTTGACTGTTTCTTAAGTTCTATCCCAAATGTGTCTAAAAACAGTAGTTGTGGAAACAACATGTCAAGAAATCTCATCAGTAAGAAAACTAACATTTTACAAAATGCTATCAAAAGCAGTAATCTTTTCAAGTTACTTTCAACTGCAGCTTCTGGAAATGTGTGTGTTCATGATAGTTGGAAATAAAGTATATTGTTAAAGCACAATGGTGTTTCTGGAGATTTCTTGGCTTTGTTGAAAGCTGAAAACCATTACTGTACATATTTAAAGTTTTGAGTATTGCTACTTTGGTTGAGGAAGAAAAAAGTTCTATCTTACAGAAGTGTTAGGAATTTTTTATCAAAGATCTCCGTATGATATTCATTTAGGTGATTGAGGCTCTGGTATTAAAGCTTACCAACATTTTCCAAGTTTTTTCTTTATTGTCTTCCTTTTCCAGCCTTCCTTCAAATGATTTTTGCTTCTGTCAGATAATTAGGATACCTTTTTTGTGTATGTGTATGACTACTTATGAAAGACTTGGATCTCAACTTGATGTTGTATAAGATCATTGCTGATAGTTGTCATGTATAGCACCCAAACTGATCTGCTCAGTTTACAAAATTCTTCTTCCAATACAGAGAGTTCTGTTGCCTAATGCTACAATTCTTGCAGTGTGACTGCTAAGTTATGTTGTCAAGTAGTCGTTCATCTGTTTATATGCTCTTTTGTCTACTGCGGTACTTCCTTTGTATTTATAATACAATTGGCAAGGTATATTGATAATGCAATTTGTCATTTTTATTTATTCTCTTTAATTGCTGCAATCACAGTAGTATTTTCATCTCAAGCACTGTGTATCTGACTAAGATCTAGGACCCCTACCATGATTAAGATGCATTATTTCAGGGATCGCTACACTACCCTGAAACACACAGTTGAGTACCAGAAGGTAATTCAAATAATAATAAATAAATAAAAATAAATAGATGATCCTGCTAGGCTCTCTTGAAAGCCACATTGCTGATGATGACTACCTTATGGGTCTGGAGAGAATGAAGACCATGTGGCTGCTCAGTTACAGTGGCCTAGGTGCTAAGTAGTGAGTTGGTAAGTGATAGCTGCGAACAGTCTTTCCACCTGGACTATACAAAGTCTGAGAGAGTGAGGTTTGAGTCCTGCTTCTGCCATCCATGCCCCTTTCCAATCTTCAGGTCCATTCCATTCCCTTAGAGCTCCCTCATGGAGCAAGACTTCACCATCTACTCTCTCTGCAGCGCTGAGGGAAAAGATGCATACTTCAGATTGCTTTACAGCCAGGCAGCCATAAGCTGAGTGTTTCAAGTCGGGGTATAGAGATATCTTCTCTACTAGCTGTTTTCCGTAACTATTTTTAAGCAAATGCATTTTTTCTTCACTAGTAACTGAAACAATTCTTCATTTTATTTCATTTTTTAAAATTTTCATGTCAGTATCTTGAAAGCAAGAATTTTGGTGATGGTTTGTAGGGGACAACCACAAACAAGCCTCATATAATTTGTAGATCCTGTTTCTCCCTTTCCCTCCCCCCCCTCAGGTTTCATTAGGTTTCCTGAATAAAATTGAACTCCTACCCAAAGACTAAACTTCACTATGTTGTTCTACTTTAAAACAGGATATGATCTTTTATGGGGTGATCTCCACTTACTTCTGAGAAATCCTACCATACATTTCAGATACACTTGAGTTTGCTTGTGGAGATCTTTGATGCATTTTAAGAGGTTTTATTTTTTCCTTGTTCCATTTCACTTGGTTTGTGAGCAAGATACAGCTGTTAGACATGTTCTGTTTACTCCTTCTAGAGGCTCAAATAAATGTATTGTATAAACCAGGTGATGGAGCAGCCAAGCACAACTCATCCTTTTCCAAACAGCTTCATCCTACTCAAAATTATGTTAGCTTCCATCAGTTTTAGTTTGTAAATTGCTCTCATGTAAAAGTAGGCGTAGCTGGGCAAGTCATTGGGTTAATGGTTCTTGTGGATGTAGTATTTAGGTAGATTAAACTGTCCTTTTATGAGATTATTCCAGCTATATATGTTACGCACTTTTCAAGTTGTACACTGGTTCCCATCTCTGCGTAATGTTTTCCAAAGCTTCTATGTCTTCATAAAACACCTTGTACAAGAAATGAGGCATTTCCCTCTTACTTATCTCTGATAAATGTTCTAGGACCATGATGTGTTCACTGGACAGGACACATTTTATAGCTATATACAGTATCTGTCACCCATTGCAGAGAGATCCTCATGGCAGATAATCTGGTAGAACTCAAACCTGACTGCGAGCAAATGCCTTTTATGCAACTTTTCTTCATATAACACTAGAAATCAAGAGAAAGCCTGAAAAATAAAATCTGTTATGCAATACAACATGACAACATTGAGAAGCTGTTGCTAAGGCTTTCAGTTCTCATTAATTATATAGTCACTTCATATCTTCTTATGTCTTAGTTCTTCTTTCTAGTAGGTGATGGAAGGAAGCCTCCGTTATTTCTCCAGTATCGCTGTGTGTGGATATTAATTTATTCCCATAATCCCACTGTCTTTTCATTCAATCTCTGGTAGCCACTAAGGAAGGAGAATAAGTAAAGTGGTTCTTTTGGTACCAGTGAATGCTCTGATATTATTTTCACTGTTGTAAAATTGGAAAGAAAGCAGTAACTTGTGTCTATCTAAAACAAAAGACAACTTAGGAAAAGAGTGATTTTTGTCTGTAGATTTCATAAGCCATGCACATAATGTTTCTGCTTTGAGTTAGTCATTAGTGATCTTTACATTTTAATGACTTGTAAAATACACTAATCATATGTTAAAATAATAATGCTAAATACAGGTTGTAGATAAGTCCCATGAGCCCAGGTCTTCAGTGACCTTGTTTTGAAGAAATTCAGTGATACTCTGTGTCTTAATTTTTATTGCCATCATCTTTAGCATGAGCTGAAATCATACTGGACTGCTGCTGTTTTTCTTGCAAGTGTTGGACTTGCAGTCAGAAAAATGAACAGCCTAGTTAGACATGTGCTCTATTTTCTCATAGCGAAACTCATTTGAAAGTAAAACATGAAAGCTATTTTATTATTCCAACCAAATCTAAAGATAACAAGATCACTTTCTTCAAAAGCTAAATGTTTGCCTGTCAGATTGACTCTGTTCTGTTTTTAAGATATACTTGTACATTTAGACTAACAACATTCTTAAAAGTTGATGGCATATTTGACGTTCCTTACACTAGTGACTCTACAGTGCAATCTCCTGACATGGAGGAGAGCGGTTAAAACAGTATTTGTATAGATGAAACAAGTTAATAATAAATGATAATTCTAAAAACATTATTTTTTTAAGCTGAATTTATGAATACTAGTATCTAGTATTTCCAGAAGTAGCGAATGCTGCCTGTATCTTTAGTATGCTCTGGCATTGCACAATCTTAAAGCATAATTAAACATGAGACATTGAGCACACTAATGCTTTTAATTCAGAGAATTGAAAGCCTTGATTTTTTTCTTTTAAAATTGGTATACCTAATAAAAGGGCTTGTCTTTGTGTCAATGGGATCTGAGAGTCTAATCTTCAGGCGAACACTGTCTGCTGGAGTGGAGCATTCTTGTTTTTCTTCTGTTGGAAAACAAAGGGCAGAATAGTAGCAGCCCTTTCTCAGCATGGTATTTTTCTAACAAGTTTTCTTTCTACCAAATAGAAAGAGGTAATTTTGGTAATCTACTTTGAGTGCAGACTGCTGTCAAAACCTTTGGCCTTTTTGTGTCTGCCATTACCTGGATTATCCCTTGCATAGGCAGGCATGTGGTCTCAGCTGACGCCTTGAGCAGTCTCAGATGAAAGCTCATTGTTTTGTCCAAGGTTTTGCACTGGGTTTACAGTCACTGCAGCAGGTTCCAGACCTCATGCTTTCAACCTGCCTGTTGCTTGCAGGTTCTGAGTCTTCTGCACTGAAGAGTATTATACCAGTGACAGAATACCTTCACTCTCAAATCTGACATTAGTTCCAATTACCCAGGCAGTGACTGGGGGCTAAGTAAGCCAACAATATAGCTATAGCTTGAGCTGGGGAGAAGGATTGTTTTCTACACTGTCTCCAGGGTAGTTCATTTAAATCGTGCTGCTGTTGACAGCTTCCACAGCAAAAGAGGGCTGAACGTTAGAGGAACTTTAGGAACTCTGTTACAGACTTCCACCAGATTATTTAATAAGGAGGGCTTCTGAGTACTAAGGAAAAAATACAAGATAAAGAGAGCCTCAGAATGTCTTTCTAATAAGTACACCTCTGTTGTCCCATGCATTTTTCTTTCCTGTTTGATGCAGACAGCTTTTCCTGATGAAGTCCTTTAGGGTCCTTAGTTCAATTGTGACACTCTTGGCTTTATTTGGGCCTTCAACTCTACACTTAAAGGAAGGAGAATATTGTCTGAATTACCAATGACTTCTTGTTATAATGTAGGACACATGTCTAATGTGTCCCATTTGAAAATGTTTTAAGTTTTGTGGACAATTAAGTTTGCAGTTGTTTTTTCAGCCTTTAGTCAGACAGCAAATCCTATTCTTTATCTGATGAGACTTGCTGAATCAAGTGTCAGCTTCCAGGCATTCCAAAACTCTACAGTTTTCCACAGGAGTTGGCAAAACTTGCATTTTGAGGCAAAAGTTGTCAGAGCGAACTGCCTATTTGATATTCTCAGCTACACCCAGATTTGCTTTTCCTATTTAACGTGTACATGGTGGAACTGCCAAAGCCACTGTAGAAGCTGCTAGTTTTGTTAAAGTTCCTTCATCTGTGATTTAGCATCTTTAACTCCCGCACCTGTGAAGGAATAACTCATTTTCATGAGAAGAGAAGGCTCAGAGAATTTTTTATGCCTATAGATATCTAAAGGAAAGATGTAGAGAGGATGGAGCCAGCAGGCTGTTTTCATTGTTGCCCAATATCAGCAGAAGAGGCAGTGGGCCTCACTGAATGTGTACAAGTCTACAGGGCTGGACAATTCGCATCCCAGGGTCCTGAAGGAAGTGGCTGATCTAGTTAGTTACTATTAGTTACTAACTAGTAACTAATAGTTACTAAGCTGCTCACCATCATATTTGAAAATTCGTGGTTGTCAGACAAAATCCCTGCTGAGTGGAAAAAGGGAAACATTGCTCCCTTTTTTAGGAAATAGAAAGGAAGACCCAGGGAACCAGGGACTGATGAGCTTGTGCCTGGGAAGATCATGGAGTGGATCCTCCTGGAAGCTGTGTTAAGGCACATGTAAGATGAGGAGGTGATCCCAGAAAGCCAGCACAGCTTCACTGAGGGCAAATTGTGCCCTTATGAGTCTGGTGGCCTTTTACAATGGAGTGACAACTTTGGGGGACATAGGAAGGACAACTGATGTCATCTGCCTGGACTTGTGCAAGACATTTGACATGGTCCTGTACTACATCCTTATCTCTGAATTGGAGAGATATGGCTTTGAAGGCTGGACAACTTGGTGGAAAAAGAATTGGTTGGAAGGTTGTAGCCAGCAGATTGTTGACAAGGATGTGGTTGTCCTGGTGGACAACAGGTTGGCTGTGAGCCAGCAATGTGCTCTTGTGGCCAAGAAGGCGAGTGGTATTCTGGGGGAGTGCATTAAAAAGAGCATAGTAAGCAGGTTGAGGGAGGTGATTCTCCCCCTCTACTCTGCCCTGGTGAGGCCACAGCTAGAATACTGTGTCCATTTCTAGGCTTGTCAGTTCAAAAAAGACAAGGATCTGCTAGAAAGAGTCTCCAGTGTGGGGCTAGAAAGATGAGGGACCTGAAGCATCTCCCATCTGAGGAAAGGTTGAGAGACATGGGACTGTTCAGCCTAGAGAAGAGAAGGCAGAGTGGATATCTCATAACTGTTTATAAATATATAAAATGAGGGAGTCAAGTTGGTAGCAACAGACTTTTTCAAGTTGGTGTGCAGCAACAGTACAAGAGACAGCATGCAGAAACTAAAACTCAAGGAAGAGCTTCTTTATTGTGACAGTGATGGAGTACTGGATCAGGCTTTCCAGAGAGGTTGTGGTGTCTCTTCCTCTGGAGATATTCAAGACATGTCTGGAAGCCTACCTGTGTGATCTTCTGTAGAGTACCTGCTTTAGCAGGGTGTTTAGACCCAATGGTTTATAGAGGTCCCCTCCAAACCCTGTGATTCTATGATTCTGTGACCAGAAAGAGGACAGGCACAAGTGGTGTCCCCCAGGGGTCAGTTTAAGATCTTTATCAGTGGCATAGATGATGATGATGTATATGCTTCAGCAAATTTTCAGGTGACACCAAGCTCAGTAGTGCAGTTGACACCTCTTGAGGAAGGGGTGTTATCTAGACGGGCCTGGACAGGCTTGGAAATTGGGTCCACATCAACCTAATGAGATTCAGTAAGACTAGGTGCAAGTTACATTTGGATTGGGGAAGTCCCAGACATGGGTACAGATTGGGAGAAGAACTCCCAGTTGAGATGAAGTTGAGATGAGTCCTACAGAGAAGGACTTGGGGGTTCTGGTGGATGAAAGGCTGAACATGAGCCTGCAGTGTGCTCTTGCAGCCTGAAAAGCCATCTATATCCTGGGCTGCATCAAAAGAGATGTGGCCATAATGGAATAGGGGATGATTGTCCCCCTCTACTGTGCCCTCCATGTGGGTACTGCTTCTAGGCCTGGAGTACCCAGCGCAAGAAGAATGCAGAGTTGTTGGAGTGGATCCAGAGGAGGGCCGTGAAGATGATCAAAGGGCTGGAGCACCTCTCTTATGGAGGAAGGTGAGGGAGTTGGTCTTTAATTTCTTAGAGGAGAAAAAATTCCATGGAGACCTTATTGCATCCTTCCGCTCCTTGAAGGGAGCTTATAAGCAAGAAGGGAAGTGACTTTTAAGAAGATCTGGTAATGACAGGACAAGGGGAAATGGCTTTAAAATAAAAGAAGGGATACAAACCTTTGCTCAGAGAGTGGTGCGACCTTGTCACAGCCTACCCAGAGGAGCTGTGGGTGCCCATCTCTGGATGTGTTTGAGGCCAAGTTGGATGGAGTTCTGGGCAGCCTGATCTGGTGAGAGGCATCCCTGCCCAAGACAGGGTATGTGGATCTCAGTTATCTTTAATGTTGCTTCCAACCCAAGCCATCCTACTAACTAACTGATGTTTTATTAAATAACAAATATAGTTGAAACTCTTAATAGCACCATATACATAAGAAACTAAATTCTGCATTTCAGTTTTAATTTGCGTGCCTTTGATTTTATGGTTAGTTCATACTGTCCAGCTGTGAATTGTACTGACTGTCAGGTACGTAGTTAAATGGAACCCACTGGAGTCATTGTAAGAATCTATCCTGACATACATATATGTCAATTGGATCGTTCCACATCACAGATTTAGAATCTGTTGAGTGTAACAGATACAGTTCTGAATGTATGATGGAAACATGTTGAGATCTGTTTAGCGTTTTTATGCTGGAACATGGCCTTCTTCCACTCTCTACATAGCAAGAAGAGAGAAATGCTGAGAGTAGCTCTTCTTCTGCAGTTATATGACCCTGGCATTGTTAGCCATTTTTGTTTGTGTATGGAGGAAAACAATACAGAAACATTTAAAAAAAAAAAAAAAATCCTTCTTGTTTTATTGCATGTTTCCAGGTGATAATTTCATATACAATGGGGGAATTGCAACAGTGGAGCTTGGAAGACATTGCCTTAGGGGACAAAGAAACACATTCATGAGAAAAAGGACTTTGCTTCTTCTCTTCAGATCTCATTAGCCTATGCAGTTGCTTTGATGGATTCTTTTTAGACTTATTAACCATTAAATCTTTACTTGCAATTGCCAACAGGCATCTCCTCTACCCCAGCTTCTGCTCCTTTTTTTCAGACAATGTTTGCTATTACAGGCTTTCATAATTTAGTTGCCATTGAAGTAGAAGAAGAAAGTTGCCTGTTAGTTTGTCTCATTCTGTGTACATGGATACTTGACTGCAATGCTGATAGTTTTTATTATGAGGAAGTCTAAAAATATTTGAAAAAAAAAACAGAAAAAGTCCAATTTTTTTTACAACATTCACTTTTTTTTTTTTCCAGGCAATAATAAACAGCACTATCACCCCCAACATGACATTTACTAAAACATCCCAGAAGTTTGGCCAATGGGCAGACAGCAGGGCAAATACAGTCTATGGCTTGGGATTTTCATCTGAGCATCATCTTTCAAAAGTAAGTATGAGCAACAAAAACTGTTTGGCAAGCCAAGCACCATAAGAATATTTGATTCCTGCTTGTTGTGCCTTGACTCAGTCTTGTTATTTACAAATAACAAAAAAATACCCTGTATCTACCCTTATAATTTGAAAAGACAAGACAGATCATGATGGCAGTATGCTTTTAACTCTTAGATAACTGTGTATTTTCTCTTAACTGAGAAAAGGGAGAAGATTTAAGCTTTTTAAATAGCAATTTGTTAGGCTTCTCTATTTTAAAGTTGTTGTTCTGTTACAGTTTTTCATAATAGAGTTTAAGAGTCAGCAAGTTAGTGTTACTTCTATATTGAGATGGCCTAGAAAATAAGTTACTGATAGTCTTTTGATGCTTTTTTGTCTTTTAAGTCACATTCATTTTAACTTTTCTTCTATGTGTATCTTGTTACAGATAATGTGACATCTGTAGGCTAAAGGTGAAGCTAGTGAAAAATTTATTTCGTGTAAAAGAAAAGTACTGTTTCTTGTTGCAGTACTGAAGTTGAAATAACTAATAAGGACATTCTGTGACACATGAGATTTTTTTTTTTTTTTATATTCAACTTGAGCAGGAGGGTATTCAAAGATAATCTGAAGAAAACAGTAAACCCTTTGAATAGTGATAGAATTGTTGTGAGAAACACTTCTATAATACCTTTTGCTATTAATGTGAATCTGGTAAATAATTATGGGAGCCTGTACAAACCAGTGTCATCTTTCAACAGATAAAAAGCTTTCAGTTTGAGAACATGTCTATGCATTAAGCAGAATTCCTACATCTCTGAAGTACACAAAAGATCTGGAAACCTAACTGAAACAGAGATGAATGTATGGTTTGTGTTCAAGTAAGGAATCGTATTTGGCTTGTCTGAAAAAAAAACAAAACCAACACAAAACCAACTAACTAGCCAAAACATATCAATCCATTTGGGAAATTGTTAGTATACAAGTGGTAAGTGCAGGTCTGTTAGAAAATCATTAAAAAGACAACCACTACATCTACTTTATGTGGACAATGTAATATTCTCATAAGTTTTCTTCATTTTACAGTCAGACAGCTTTAATTTATATGAAGCAACACAAATCCACAAAATTCCAAGTGATACCAATGTTATGTATATGCATGTAGATAGATTTATGCACATTATTGCTTCAGTGAACTTAGAAACTTCATCATTTAAATTGGTGTGTACATTTTAGAAGCTCTTGCTGACTAATACAGATACAGCTTTTGTTAGCATCTAAAAGGATTTAGTGTAAATGCCAATTTAGTTTATCTCTTTCATGTACTATTTGTGTTTCTCAATCATAAAACACCTCTTTGGAAGCAAAATGTGATACTGCAGTCATGCATACCCTGTGCTTGTCAGGCTTCCAACATTGGGTTGTTCTTGCCAAAGAACATACATATGTATTTTCATCTGTCTTTTCCACCGCTCTTTCCTCGCTCTCCTCGGTGGCCAATTTAATATCATTCTTTAGCTGCTGTCAAACTGGTATTTAAGATTTTTCAGTATACTTCTGGTTTAAAATTTTATGTTGCTATTGTAAAAATAATAAGAAAAGGTACAGTAGATGTTTTGTCAAAAGGACATTTTTGATAAGCAGTTACTCAAATTGCTGTGATTCATGGAGGATACACAAGTCTGTTAAGAAAAATATCGAGTCACAGACCTATTCTGAAGGTTACGGTGACAAATTCTCAGAATGCTTTTAGGAAATTGTCCCCAGATTTATTCAGGAATAGGTTGCTTCTAGATGTTGCCTTGAAATTAATTCGGGAACTTTTTAAAAATGTATTTGATGAATCAGAGTCCCAAAATGAATGTCCTTGTTATATGTAGCTGCAGAAGTGTCTTGGGGCTCTCTGGAGTATTTAAAGTTTCAGGGAACCCACAACTGCAAAACATTTGGTCCAGTCAGTGACTGATTTGAAAAGGCCAATGAAGCATATAATCAGGTCTTTTAATAAAATATTTATTCTTATATCATTGTCCGCTTAGCTGTGTCACTCTAAACAAGAATGATTATCAAAGCTTACTAAGTATTTGACTTTGCAACCATTTGGTTCATTTACCTTTGTCCTTCATAAACTAATTCCCAGAGTAGAGTGCATCAGAGGTAAACTTTTTTCTGTGTTATCATTGCGACTGTGAGAATATTTGATTAAAAAATAGATACATGGCAGTCAACTCTTTATGTGCAAGCAAGAAAATTAATTGAACATATGTTTATCTTCATTAGAGCTTTCCTCAATGTGTCAGACCACAAATTCATTTTAAGATTATTCCATAAGGAGTCAGGCAGAAGTCAACGGCTTTTAAAAGATGGTTTCTGCATTGGAGAGTATTCCCTTCACAGTATTAGGATTTTCTGGCATAGTCCCTCTTGCTTGTGAAGTAGGAAGAGTAGAATATCCCATGATATTCATCAAAAACTGAAGCAAATTTCCCAACCAGAATAAAGTCTGTACTTTGGATAACATTCGTCTGGATGGCAAGAAAATCACCCGTCTTATTTAAGTTAGTTGACCTGATTTATTGTGAACAATCTAAGAGTTATGAGGCATGATGTGTCATCATGGGTATTATCCTTCCACAGTTTTTCATCGTTTCCTTAGATTATGAATCCTCCAGAGTACTCTTCTTTTCATACCATGAGACCTCTCTTTGTTAACTGGGGGTTGTATCAAGAGATTGCTATTACCCACCACCCAAAGATCTCAAGGAATTCTAGTAAATTGATGAGATTTTTCTTCCTAGGTGGCTCTTTTTCAGAATGTTACATGTTTACCAGTCTATTCACTCTTTTTATAATTTCTACCAGTGTGATACAGAAGATTATACTTACCATCTTGTTTTTTTTCAACTGCATATTCTAAACTTCAGCATCATGTTTTCCATTTACCAGTCCTCTGGTCCTCAAGTCTTCAGACTTAAATAATAGGTTACCAATGAGATTTTGAGGTCTATGTATGATTATCAGTGCTCCTAGAAGAGTATGATCTAGTTCTGGGGATCCATTGCCAATTTTATCATCTGTTCTGAGACCTTTTTTGATGCTGGATTATTTTTCATGCATGGTATTTTTTTTTTATCTTCCTGTATCCAGAAAATGTATGTTTTTAAATAACCTACTAGCTGAAATGTAGGATTCCAGAGAAGAAAAATGGTACTTCCTCAAGTGCTAATAGCCTTGACTAACAAACAAACAACTCCAAAAAATGTATTTGTATGTTGCTGCTGGAGACATTTATAAACTGTTGGGAAAAATCCCAGTGTTTTTTTTAGAATGCAGTGTTTGGCCAATGGTAGTAAAATAATATTTGTGTAAAAGCAGAAGCAAGTGAAATCAAGTGCTTTGCTACTTACAATTTGTGTGATGTAAAGCTGAGATCACTAAATTTTTCTCTAGCCAGAAAATTTAAGCAGAGTTCTTTATAAGTTGTTCAACTCTCAGGTTTAAGGCTGCAGGTATTTCTAAATTGCTGTTCTATGAATATGTGTAGCAGAGACATCAAGCTTTCCAGGACAGTTACAGCAAGAAATGAACTTGACTCAGCATTCCCAACTGCTGATTTCGTAGATAGCTATTGGAATTCTAAAAGCTTTAACACAATTTGGGAAGGAATTAGTATTGCTTAAGTCATGAAAGTGTGAAGCTCTTAGGTCAGTTGTGACCAAATCTGGCTTCAGAATCTAGTTATTCATTGTAAGGAAGAGAATGAAACCTAAATCTGACAGCAGCTATGTAAGACGGTTTATTACTATTACTGGCTATATCTGAACTTGTTTGTTTGGTTGAAACATTTTTGCATTGTTAATTTCCTGCTATGTAAACAGTGCATTCTGTCTGAAAATTACTGGAAGCTATGCCCCTGTGTAACTTGATCAAATGAGTAGGGAGATAGGGAGAACAAAATCTAAAAATTCTACTAAGGTAATCTGACATCGTACAACGCAGTATGTTCTGCATGCAGTGTAACTAATTCACACCTACTCTCTTCTTTCTCTATTTTGTTTTATAATAACATATGTACATTCAGTTTGCGGAAAAATTCCAGGAATTCAAAGAAGCCGCACGGCTAGCAAAGGAAAAATCACAAGAAAAGATGGAGCTGACAAGTACACCCTCTCAAGTGAGTTTTTCTGCCTCTTTCAAGGCTTGTATTTCAAATTCTGTGCATACTGTTTTAAGAATTTGTATTGTATCTTACAAACACATGCTCTGTTACAAAAAGGAACAAGGTATTTCCCATTTAGCTTGGATCCTTTCAATGGTTAACCGTAGAAGTGTTCAGAAGTCTAAGAACACTTTTAATGTATGTTCTAGAGGAGTCAAAGGGAGTTGTTTCTGGAGCTGGCTAGATCTGGCTGCTGTCCATCATGGGGCAGCTCCAGGACTCGGCTAACAGAGGCCAGAGGGTTGGGGCAAGGAGAAAGGAGAGGCACGGACAGTCCAGCTGACATAAGTGAACAGATATTCAATACCATATTAGGAGTTGATTTCTTTTTTTCTTTTCGGAGGAGAAAAATGAAGTGTTTGTTTCTTTCTCATTCCTTTTTTTGAACTTCACCTAGAATATTAGTAAAGATGGTGAGCTGTTATATAAGAAAATCTATAGTTAAGACCTTTTGTTACTTGTCATATCTCTGAGACTTGAGCTAATACACTTTAAAGGACTTTATGTAAGAATCATTCAAACAAAAATCAAAGATAAAGCAGCAAACTATTTTTACTTATTTCCAACTTTGTAGTGTTCATTCGTGTTGTGTGAAGGTCAATGATAGTCTTGTGTGGGTTCTGAGTTTTATTACAGTTAGCCATATTGCAAAAGAAGAATTAAAAAAAGATGTTTCTAAGCATGTGAACTAGGTTAATATAAGCCCAGCAGAAAGATAATATGGTTATATTTGTTATATTTACATTAATCATACCTAAAATTAAGTTCCTTGAAAGTAGATACTTTGAATTTGCTTTGGGGGAGAAAAAAAAAACAAATTGCATGAGGCATTTATACTCATCCATTCCAGTGTTTTAATGCAATTGTGAAAAGGTGTTTCCTATTTTTGGAAAATTACGCAGCTTTACAACTTCAACAGGAATTCCTTATTGCGTAGGATTAATGCAGCTGTGTTTGCTTTGTTTGTTTGTTTTTGAGAGTGCATTTTTATTCATTGAATGAGTGCATCTCTTTGGTGTTTTTGCACTGATGGCAAAAGGATGGCATGTGGTTTGCAGCATGCTGTAGAAGTAGGTTTACTGCTTCAGAAGAAAGATATATCTGATGTTCTTCCAGGAGAAGTCAGGGGAGCAGCCTCAAGAATATATACAGTGAAATAGCTTCATGTTGTTTTCACTGGTAGGCATTTTGCCAGTTCCCTTTGACTTTTGGTATCAAAGGGAAACTGCTTCTGTCTGTACTGTGAGAGGAGAAAAATGAGGCAGTCTTTTTTTTTTTTTTAGTACTGATCTTCATGACTGTCTCTGAATTTCTGGTAAATTTCATAAGTGCATAGATAATGGAAGCAGATTTTGACATTATTAACTAGTGTATACACTTAGTTTTAAAGTCAGTGGCGAATTTCAGCTAGGCCTCTAGTTACTGAACATTAAAGATGAAGTTATTACTGTGCTTCTGTTTTTGCCGTACTAGTTAACAGTTGGGACTCAGGAGTTAAATCAGACAGTGTCAAATGGAGTCACTTACTTGGTTTGGATGTAAGTTTGAATTAGTCAGAGACGAGATTCTTTTATCAAGCAGTTGCCTAGGGTTAAAGCTTTCACTTTTTCTATATAAGCTATTAATATTGTTCATTTCCTGTATACTTGGAGCCCAACATTTTATGCTGTAGGCAGCTTTAGAAACGCTACCTTGAGCAATTCTGTAATGCATGTTGAGAGCTGCAATTTTATTACTGTACACTTAAGAACGCCTTCTTATTCAGTCCTTCCTTTTTATGTCTTGGCTTTTAACTGCATTGGTAAGTCAGTGTATTTCAAAAGGTATAGTTAGCGCAAGTGCTGACATATCAGCACAATGGTTGTCACATACTCAATGCTTCCCATTAGTTCCCCAGAGAGAAGGCAGTTGAATCAGGAATTCTGGAGTTCAGAGCAGATGAGCAGTGACGGTTTTGTGGCATACTTCGACACTTACATGGTGCTAGGTTTATTCAAAAAAATTTATAACTGAGGGGGAAGATGGATGCTTGGCAGTGGGTAAGGTAGGTGGGACACTGGAGACCGAAGGAGTACTTTCTGTCATTTTGATAGTCTTTCCAAAAGTGGTTGCAGGGCACTTAACTCCAGTGTTGTTTTTCTTAATCATTTTACAACTGTTCTTTTCCCTTTTTCTTTGGATTCCAGCAAAAGGACCTGAGGGACTGGCATGGAGCTGCATCAAAGAGTGGTCAAGTTGGGTGTTAGGAAAAGGTTCTTCACCAGAGTGTGAAAAAGGCACATAACAGACTCCCCAGAGCATGGTCATGGCTCCAGCCTGCTTGAATTCAAAAGGCATTCAAAAGGACAGTGTTCAAAAGGACTGTGCTCTCAGAGTTTAAATACTGAGCGTTCCTGTCCAGAGCCAAAAGTTGGACTTGGTGATCCTTGTGGGTCCCTTCCAACTTAAGGAAAGAGATTCAGTGGCCAGGCAGGACTTCCTAAGAACGTGTTGGGTTTTTTTCTGGGGAAATTTTGACAGGAAAGGGTGGGAAGTGGTGTATAAACAGTGTGGTTTATAAGAATATTGCAGTTAACTGCAAGGGTGAGTCCTCTGCTGCCACAGACTTTCTGATAGTCCTTCTGCATCAAATTAATGATAGGAAAATACTGTATATCAAAACTGGAAAACATACGCTTAAAGCTTACATTAAATATCTTATAGCAGTGTTTAAAGAATGTCTTTCTCATTGTTTACCAGTTTATTAAATGTATTGGGTAAGGTACATTGTTCACCCCTCTCTGCTGCACAGTTCTAGGAAAAGAAGGACGTATGCTTTTTTTGCATTCAGTGTGTTCCTACATGTTAAATCTTTATTAAAATATGTTTACATCTAGCATAACAAGACCCTGCACAAAGCATTTACTGCTCAGCATTGTCTGATGCAGCTCTGCAAATATTTCTGGCATATATCAGTTTTAATTCTGAATGTCCTTTACGAACTTGATGTGAAAGTACAGAGAAAAATAAAAAAGGAGATAATAACAGAAATGTCACATAAATAAAACAGGAATTTATAGCTCGTGTACTTTCCACTTAGCCGTGTTGGAAACTTAAGACCCATCTTATCTAAAGTCCACTGAAGTTGGGCTATTTTTCTAAGATGCTGGAGTTTTAGAAGTGTTGGTATTGCTTAGCTAAGTATTTCCCACCTTAGAAAAGTACTTTGGTGGCTAGGAAGTAGTAGTCCCATGTTAAGAATTTTTTTTTCCTACTTGTTTCATTCAAGGATATGTATTCTTCAACTATTTTTTTTCCCCACTGAAACACTTTCTAGAAATTCTACATTCTTACTGTTTCTTTAATACTGCTTGTCCTTCTCCCATTTACCAGCAGGCTTTGGTTTAATTCCCCAGCATATAGATAATAAATAAAATCACTTTAACCATAAAAAACATAACTTGTCCAGGGAATTACAGTGGAAGACCAACAAATCATGAAAGATGCTGCTTTGTTGTATGTAAGTCATGCTGAGAGCATGGTATTTTTTACTATTAGAGAGAAAAGCATTATTTCTGTATCAAAGGACTTGTACTTTCTACTCATCTCTATTAAGACAGATTCATGTAACAGTACAGACTTTATTTATATCTGAGCTGTATGAAAGCATCAGTCTGAGGTGGACTAGAAAGAAGATGTCAATGTTGGTACTTCTAAGACCGCTTGTGCAAATAGGTACCCTATCTGTCGTCCTTTTAACCTTACTTTTGTGTTAGAGTTTTACAAGGATATTATGTTGTTGATATAAAACTAAAATAGAGCCTCCTCTCCTCTGCCACCTCTTCTTTTTCAGACTCATCTTCAGTACAGAGAAATGAAACAATGGATCTTACAGTAGCAAGAAACTTATGCCCTATTTTCTGTTACTGGTTTGCCTGCACATTGAAAGAGTAGCACTTTGTTACACAGTTCACTGAACTGCATGAGGCAATAGCCTGAAAACTGTTTTGTTGCTGTTTTTGTTGGGATTTTTTAGCCTTTTTAAATTTTTTTTTTTTTAATACGTTCCAGTGCAGAACTAAATGTTACAGAACCCTCACTCCACTCTTAAAAGTTATGTCTGAATCTCAGTTCTTCTCTTCTCTTACCCAGAATCTCCCCTTAGATGTTTCTTGTGACCGCAGCCATTTTAATAACACATCTGAAATTTTGTGCTGTCGTTCAAAACAATCCAACTCTTCTCTGAGGCCTTTCATGTGCACACTACTTAGGATATGATAGTCTGCTAAGTTTTGTATCAGGTCTTTCTATAGTGCAAGGAATAGACCAATTTTGGCAAAATGGTCATGGTTTTGTCACCTGTTGGCTTCTTTGTGGACAAGCAGTTTTCTTACACAACTTGTGGAAAAGTGACTGTGGGATGTATTGGTGCAAGTGTGTCCACTCGTATTATGGCACCTGAGTTGACAGCTGGCAGCCTTGTGAAATTGCAAGGCGGGATCTGGACAGAGAAATACGAGCTAGTGTATGGAATACTAATAACAAAAAACAATGCAACACTTAAAAAAACAAGCTGTAATTGATTTACAGGCAGCGAACCTTTAGGTATTACAAAAACTGTCCTGTTTGTCTGCTTTAATTTTTGTCACTCAATTTTCACTCAAATTGGGAGTCTATGGCTGTGCCTTACTAAGAAATAGGCAAAGATGGAACTTGCACATTTTTTTTTCTGCTGAAGAGAATTCTTTCATGCTTTTGTACTTAGCATGTTCTAATAGATAATCTGTGGCTTTATCAGCGTAATAATAGTGTTCCAGGAATTTCAACTTGAAGATACAAGCAAACCAGTTTTCATGGGATATAGTATGTATTTTTTTAGAGCATAAAGTGTAACTGGGGAAAAAGAGGAAGTAACAGAAACTTTTGGGTGCATACTGCCTTTCATTTAATGTAGGTGGAAACTCTCTATCACATCAGAGGATAATAATAGACAAAAATGCATAATTTATATTACACAATGTATGTGCCTGATTATCTTGCCTATTATACTCTTCTTCCACACTTAATTTCAATTCAGCTTCAGTTCAGCAAAATTGTTCTGTAAAAATCAAGGTTTATTTTTGACTTTTAGGATATTATCATATGAGGTAACTTTTGAGTATAAAGTAACAGATTTCCTCCCAAAAGTCGAGAGCAGTTTACATTCATGAAATAAAGGATTTGCATTTATATTACAAATAACACTTTATATTTGTGTGGCAAATTAGGATAAAGTAATTATTTTCTGCTTTACAACCCACCAGAATTTAATAAGATTGGAGAAAGTAATACAGTGAAAAATGTGAATTACAGTATTCTTGGATAAGTGACATGAGGGCGTTGTGGAAGGTGATGACAACAACTAGATCTTATTTTTCTCAGAAGATCTTGAGTTATTCCATGAAAGTCTCAAAGGTCCTGGGCCATGTTTCCTGTAGATGTAGATTCAGTACTGCCTTGTAAGCTAATTGAAGGCTACAAGTAGATGCTAAAAATTAGACCTTAATCTTTTAAGACCATGAGTCACATACTTTGCAATTCTTTCTGAGATTGCTATTCTTCAGCTTTCTAGGCAATGTCAAAGAGCTGGAAAGAGGAGCACTTAACCTTTCAGAGCCTGTGCTTTTGCTTCAGTTTAATATTATTAAGTAGCAGCCTTAGCCATTACCCATGCAGATGGTATGAGTCTGTGTGGTCGTAGGAGATGCTTGGCTTTTAGAACAGTTGTTATTCAGCCATCTTCTGCTGTGCGGTCATGATGTTGATTTAACTCTAAATGAAAGTCTTTTTTCATGAGTTAGATTTTGCCACTTCACAACTAAAAGCTTACTAAGGTATTTCAGGTAGGACAGGCACTTAGCTTATCACTCTTTTATCTTCTGTGACAGCCATTATTTGATGAAGAGTATAATGGGAAAGAAAATACTAAAATTAAATCGTGTACAGGGATTGAAAGTCCTGTAATGTTCTCAGTTCAGAAGTGGGCTATATGATGTACTTTTTTAAAAAAAGAAATAGTTTTCAGTGTTTAGAGATCAGCAAGTAATACTTGATGATCAAAACACAAAGGCATATTCTGGTATGATAAGGATTGATTGAAACTGCACCAGTGCCTTCTGGCTAAGAGACAGGCATCAAGTTTTTGAGGTATCAAGTTACCTAGGAGCAGTGGAAGCTGCCTGCTTGTATTTGGAATATTGCTCTTCCCAGATGGTACCATGAATAGCAAGAATGAGAACTAGGCTAAAGTGACCATAAGTTTTGCAAAGACTCTACTGACCAAGCATTATTTACACAGGAGTCTTCTACATCAGACTGACTGCAGTAGCAAAGACTCTTCTACTCTTTACTTAGATTAATGCTGAATATGAAGTTTGGATTTTGAAACAGCAAAATTTGTTTCTTTGTGTTAGAATATAAAGTAAGAGGTAAGAATCCTGGGAGTAAATAGTTGTGGGTTTGTGGCTGAATGTGAATATCAGGCAAGAGTGATAGACATCTGTAATAAGAAGGATGCTGAATGCTTGCAAATCATGTCAGTTGTGTTTTGTGGACACAGGACAGTGTGAATCTGATGGTAATATGCTTCTAAATTAAATCACATGATGAAACATGTCTGTGGGGAACACTGGAAATCTGTGAGCTTCACGTTAATATTGGCTAAAATTTGTATCTTATGTAAGAATTAAAGTTATGCTTATTAGCACATTGTCATCGTGAGCAGGCCAGTTTGTAATTCTAATTTATCATTTGTTTGTTTTACATAAGGAATCGGCTGGAGGGGATATTCAGTCTCCTTTAACGCCAGAAAGCATTAACGGGACAGATGACGAGAGAGCTACGCCAGAAGTGACACAGAATTCAGAGCCAAGGGCTGAACCAACCCAGAATGCATTGCCATTTACCCATAGGTACAGATTCAATTCCCACATCCTAATAAAATGATATCTGTCTTCTTCCTTGTTAAAGGGACCTTTTCCATGCCATGGCTTCTACCTAGCTCAGTTAAGAATTAAATCATGTGGTTTTTAATAAAATAAAACAAAATACAGGACCTGCTTTCAGATTTGCAATATAATCATTGTTTTCACAACAAAGAAACAAAATTATGTATGGGGAAGTCTCTTGGAATGAGACTAGGAGTGCATTACTTTGTAATTTATTCAGCTGAGCATGAGAATTTGAATGCTCATTAGTACAGGCGTCCCTTTAACAGGAAGCGTGATTTCAGTGACTGAGATCTTAGTAAAGACAACCGCTTCACAGAATATTCCAGTTAAATTATTTTTGCAATTTTTATTTAAATAACTGGTAACATTGGATCGGCCTTTCAGTGATAACTTGTTGGAAGAAAGACTCTTACACCACTTCTGGATTATGCAGTTTAAAGCAGCCTTTAACCACACAGTTATGATAGTTGAAAACATTTCTCAACTTTTTTTTCAGAACACAGGAGATGTGTAGTTTTGCTCCAGACTGAATTATAATTCATTGCACTTGGAAGCAACCTGATCTAGTAGAAGGTATCCCTGCCTGTGGCAGGGGAGTTGCAACTAGGGAGCCTTTAAGGTTTTGTGCAGCTCAAACCATTCCATGTTTCTATGAATGCTGTATTCCATTGTGTTCTGTTAAAAAACAAAGAGTTTTTATCTAAACAAGCTAAGATGGATGTATCTTATTTGTTAAAAATTACTGAAAGTGGAACTCAATAAAACACATTATGTACTGAGACCATGGAGAGTAACATAAATATTTAATGAACTTAGAGGAAAGCTAGAAATACTGCATTACTTTTTTTTAGCAAGTGGTCTCAATACAGCTTTATGCCCTTCATCAAAATTTGGGGAACAACAGAACTTTAGATATTATTCAAATAATTTGGAATGAGCAGAGATGAAATTATTCAAAACTTCTCATTTTTGTGAGAGAGTAATAGAAGTAATCTTTTACATTTTTCAAATGAGAAAAAAAATTATACTTTTGCACTAATTTTTTAGCAGAATTATTGTGTTTATTTTTATACTTCAGCTAGTACCAGAGCATTTATTACATGTTTTAGAAGAAACGGTGCCTTGTAAGAGCACTGTTTGCATCTTGATGGAATTTTATGAATGTTGCATGTCTATTAGTGTTCTGTAAAGAGTAGTTTTTACTTTTATGTTGGCATTCTCACTATTTTGGGGAAAAGTAGTTGTGGTAAAGTCCACAGACTGTAAGTGTTTTTTTGTTTGTATTTAATGATAGCTGCAAGATCTTCTCTCTATTTATGTAAGCGTAAATATGACTTCTGGTATGTCTCAGTATCGTACCAGATATTGCTTTGCATGGAGCATGACTGAAGATGTTTTCAAAGCTAACCTGGTTGTAATTGTGGATGGGGTAGAACAGAGGTAACAAAACTACCAGGCTTTTTTCTTTCATCTGCATGTATGCAATGTGAGTGCCTAGTTTTAGTTTCTTGTGTGATGATAAACCAGTAGCAAGAATTGGCATTGCAGTGATATCTCTGTCTTTAGAGATATGTCTATATTTAGATATGTCTAAATATAGAATGATGACATTTCTTATGATAATTCTCAAAAGACATCAGTTTTGTCTTGCTGATGGCAGCTGCAAGCTTGTAATGAAGCAAAAGAAGAGAAAAAACAACAACCAAAGACATTTATATACTATTATTTAACAAAGAAGAAAATGCTTGCTAACACTTTCTGACCATTTTTTCGTATAGATGGAAAAGAAGCCTTTTTGTATGTATCTGAGAGTCAAGGAACACTGTCTCAATCCAAGGGAAGCTACCATTTAAATTCCTTGTATTTCGAAAGATACCAGTTACATGATCATGTTTTACAAGTCATTGTCAGAACATGGGTTGGAAATTAGCTTCTTTACTTCGATTTAGCTATGTTCTGCTTTGGTGTGACAGGACCTGCTCACCAGGGGAGGGTCCAAAAGTGATGGTGTAGGCTGGTGCACAAGGCAGGCTTAGGAGAAGCCATAGGCAGAGGCTGGAGCTTCGTGCAGCAAGGTGCCGCAGCACCGCACAAGGTGGAGATCCAGGTGGGAGCTGCATTGCTGCTGACAACTGGGCAAACTCAGCTGTGTGCAGCGTCATTGCAGCAGAGGGTAGGGGTAGGAGGTTGAAGTTGTTGTTAGAACAGTCATTGGGGGAGGGAACTGTTATGTTTTTGTGTGAACTGGAAGGATCTGATAGACATTAACAAGGTCAGGATCGGAAGCGTGGAGTTCATGCTGTAGGCTACATCTCGCTTGTCATTTTTAATCTGCACACCTGAAAAATGTTCTCTTTCATTTTGTTCTAACTCATCTCTCTGGACAGATACGTCGTCTTGCGCACTTTGTATGTCCTGGTGTGATTAGTTGGGCTTGTATTATTTCTGCAGCATAAATGTAGACTACTTTAGTATTTATGGTTATTTTCTGTCCATTTATACCCCCAAAACTGAATAAAAGCATTACTTAATTCACTAGTGTTTTGTTATTAGAAATTTAATTTCTTATTATTTCAGTAAATAATTGTAAGTATTGAGATGAACTTTATCTAACAAGTCCCATTCGTGTCCCACAAGTGTAACAGAACAAAAGTCTGTCTAGTTACTTCAATTTATCCTTAACTGGAAAGTCCTAAAGCTGTCCACAAGCAGTGTGATTCTAGTCAACTGCTTGAGAGAGAACACTATTAAACTGTTATGAGCCTTGCACAGGAAGATAAACCCCTGCAGTTAAATCTCTTGCCTTTTTTTAAAACTATGATAGTTAATGTTGAATTATGAAGTATTATTACCTGGGAACTTTATATTTGTCATGAATAGCCTGAACATTGCAATCATTATTAAATATTGCCAGAAGAAATGAAAATAAGAAGTAGCCTAAGCTGGCATTTTAATTTTAATAATTTTGGCTGAGACATTGATGAGTGCTTTGCTGAATGATGGCTAGTCCAGGGATACTTTTTTTTTTTTTTTTTTTTTTGGCTATAAAAGCTAGTTAATAAAATCTAATATTTAAAATAAGACTAAAGGAAGGACAAATTTTCTTTCTTTATTAAGTCTTGCTCTACTCAGATGTCTTTCTTACTTTTTTCCTCCTGTCTTTTTACCTTTGGCATTTTCTTTAAATTGTGGGAGGTTTGTTTTTGGGGTTTTTTTTGTTTGTTTGTTTGTTTGTGTTTTTTGTTTTTTGTTTTTTTTTTTTTTGGTTTGTTTTTTTTTTCAATTATGTTTTGTTTTCTATTTTTTTAAACTAAAAAATAGTTTGATCATAAAATGGAGTTCAGGGAGAAAGTAGATGCTAGTAAGTTTTTAACCACTTCTGATGTGACTGTACCTGGCTCTTAAATGCAAGTTTAATTATACTGATGCACAGTATGTAGGATGCCTAGATGTCTGAATGAGCCCAAAGGAATACTCTTCTAAGCTTATTCAGCCTTAGAATATAATTCAAGTACAAAAACTGAATAGTATGCCAGGCAAATTCTGCAAATGCTGCTTGGGATGTTTTGGTAACTGTTTGATGAATTTGCTTTTTTCCCCCTTGAAAAAAATACATTTGTTCATAACAAGTTTTATTCAGTTTCTTGGCACGGTAGAAAGCTGTGGGATAAAACACGCTTTCAGAAACAAAGCTTACTATGAGAGGATTCTTCTGGGACAAATCTTGAAAGCCTTCAATTTTGTGTCAACCATGACTTGAACCTATTACATCATTTTTTCATGTCATATATGAAGATTTTCCATCTAAACTTAATGAAAGTTGGAATTTCTATAACTTATTATTTCAAACTGACAATATATATATGTATGTTTGTTGCTTGTTAGTTGAAATTCCTATTTTTGTATTCAAGTAAGTTTTTAATATGAAAGTTTGACTCACTGCCTTAGTGAAAACAGACTCATTTCAAATGATGTTGGTATCTTAGATATTTTCTGTCTAGATAGATTAACTTTTAATAATGCTGCATGTAAATCCAATTCTGTATCAAAACAACAACAACAACAACAAAGCCAAAACTAAGATCTTGCTGCTAGGTCGTGTTCTTTCACTGAGTTATCATTAAAAATTGTACACAACATTTTTAGTAGATTTTTCACTGTGTGTATTACAAACGTGCTTCTATAAGCTTAAGTATTTTAGTTATATTACAGTAAAAATACTTTATGGATTGTGTTTAATTGTTAAGTTGGCTTTGAAGAAAAGTTTTGAGATAACAGGTTTTTTGTGCTGTCTTGTAACTGGAATTTATAGTCAAATCCCATTATTAGGATGCTCTTTATGGAGATACATACCATTTTCTTACCAAGTCGTGCAGGTGGTGCACACAACATATTTTTCATTCTGGATTTTAAATGCTATCTAGCCTGATCTTAGGATACTTTTGTGTTGCACAGAACATCAGGAAGACTGTAATAGAAGCTCCTTCTCAAAGTAGGTCAGCTATGAGATCAGACCAGGCTGCTCTGGGCTTTATCTAGCTGAGTTTTGAAAACTCCAAGAATGGAGACTGCTAAAGCTAGATGTCTTTTTAAAAAGGTATCTCTATGACATAAAAGAGAGTACCTGTATTTGAAATGCATGGTGCTATAAAGAACTGTGGCATCTTAGGGCACTAGAGAGACTCCAGTAAATTCAACTACTCTTTTGATAAAAGATTATTATTTCTTGGTACACATTTAGAGAACCAGCTCAAAGACAATCAGTTCCCACTGTCATTGTAAGCAAAGATTATTAGAGCACCTAAGAAGTAGGTCTTGACTTCACCTCAAGCAACATTTGTTTGACATTATGAAGATCCTAGCTGTGCTGTTCTTCTACCTATTCTGCTTCTCTGCCAGCAAGACCCTGGTGGTCTGATGAAGAAGCACAAGGAAAAATGAGTCTTCCTTTCCTCCCTGAC